CTTCCCAGAGGCAGGGCAGTAAGTCTGAAAGTCTATAATACTAAAAATTTGGATTTGATACCCGTGATGCATGGCACAGATAGCCCATTGTGTAGCTGCTTAACTCCAAACAAACAAAAATTTAAATACAAACTGAATATCATGAAAATGTAACCAAACTGTTTCAATAACTTTTCACCCAATTTGTAAGATCTAAAAAGCGACACGTTTATAAATTTTAACTCATTAAATGTTATGTATCGGATTATAAATCAGAAAAAGTTTTATATATTTTTTATAATAAGCTGAATGTTTTGAAATCAAAATATATTGGGCAAAATACTGTATGTATAATTATGGATAGTTTTCTAAACATCATCTACTGTTATTTATTTTACTAAAACTGGAGGGTGAGTTATTTAAGAAAGAAAAGAACAATATGTATATCTGGATTTATATTTTGTGTACAGGTACTCATAGCCTTATCGCACTGTCAACCACTAGATGGAGATACTGCAGCTGCTAAACAAAACAAATATAAACCCAAATTTGTCACACCGAAAGTTCAAGGTAAGTTCCCTGGTGTTAAGAAGGAAACTTGTTCTTGATAAATTTTCGTTCTTTTATAAGTAGATTCATGTGCGAACAAAAGATCGCAGTCATTATTGATATGTTTTTCCTACATTCTGTACAAGCTTGTAAGAAAAAAACAAAAAACAGCTACAAATAGAATTGATAAAATACGTGCTTAATATATATATCAGTTGATTGTGTTATTAACATTATTTTAACCAAACACAAAAAAGAGTTAATTGAATAATAATGAAACACCACGAGAAAAGGCCTCGATCAAATTGCCTCCTGGTGGCTTTGAAATAAATCTGAAGGATTTTTAACACTAAAAATCGGGTTGAGATATCGAAGATTGGGACAGTACATACAACCCATTATGTAACTTCGTGCTTAATAATAAGGATATAAATAAATCGATTAAATGACATTATAGTACATGTGTATTGCTGTGTTGAGATTCTTTTAAATTTTATGTATCGTGCTTTTTTTACTTTGAAAAATACTCTAAAAATCGTATTAACTGGATTATCTTTAAAATACAAAATAACAAGCTTGGGTATTGTCATTTATTGGTTACATTCCCAATAACATAAAATATACTTTTTCCAAATATATGATGTATGATGAAGGAACATCAAAATTTGTACATTGGAATGAAATTTGATGTTTTCATTTTTTTTTCTCCTTACAACAAAAAAACTCGCACTGACCGATTTCAAAGAGGAATTCATTAATAAAATAAAAATATACGCGCTCGACCTGAGATTTAGTCAGTATTAAATAAGCTAAACCTATGTCGTAAAGGTCAAATATATTTTTCTTGTAATTCAACTTGCCTTAGCAATGGATGGGTCTTGTAAGGAATATTTGAATATAGAAATTGTTATATTGGTGTTCGAGTTGTATGTCTTAAAGAAATCACTAGGCTCATTGTTGTTAAGCGCAAAGCTACACGAAGAGCTATCTGTGCTCTGTCCACTGCTGGTATAAAACCCCGATTTTTAGCGTTATAAAGCCTCTGTATTACCGCTGAGCCACCAGGGGAAATGACTAGGTTCATGAAACTACGCTTTAATATAGACTCCACTGTTGGAGAAAAATTAAAACTATTCTAGCTAGATGTTTCCCAAAAGCTTGAAATTTGTTATTCCTCCAGATCATTAATTTTATTTCTCTCATGAGTTATTAGAATCCAGAAGAACAGTTGAACAATTGTTGCATTTCATTTTATGTTGTCCTGCGGTGGATCAGCAGTTAGTCTGAGGACTTATTGCGCTAAAATCCATAGGTCGTTACTCCATGGTAGACACACCGCGGATAACCCATTGTGTAACCTTGCGCTAAAAATGAATCAAACATTTCAAGTCCACCAGTTGACTAAAAAACAAACATTTAATATCAATCAGTGCACTGAAAAGCAAAAAGTCCATGTTCATTAGTGCACAAAAAAATAAACATTTCAAGCCCATTAGTGCGCTAAGAAACATACATTTCATGCCTATCAGTGCTGGCTCTAATAATAATCAAAAGTGAAATATAATTAATGAGTGCTTTGGATTTCGCGTTCTTCGGAGCCTCATCCTGATGAGTTTAAAATGATATTTAAATTGTATTATTTATTGCAAAAATATAACAAAGAATATGATGTTTAATTCTTTGAAATAACAGTGAAATATCTAATACTGTGTGATTCGAATACTGTTGCTGTTTGGGGCTTTGCTCTTGCTAAGATTGGCACTGCACTGAACAGTGCGTCATGTACAGTAGCTACATTCTGAGTGAGAACGATTCTCCTTAACCTGTCCCACTTTCTCTGTAGTTTCTCTATCGTGCAAATCTGACAAGATCATGGTGACCATGAACTTTACGGAACCTTTTAACGGGGTGGCGCATGCTGGCGACAAAGAAAGTCCGTGTAAACTGAGAGGCATTGGAGACAAAAACTACATACTCAATGTACCATTAACATCATGTGGAACAAGACACGAGGTGAGTGAATTGGTGAACTTAGAAACAGACACACTCGATGATTGTACACTGGAGGAGTTAACACTTTTTTATTTGTAGGATATCTGGCTTGTTTGTAACAACACTAGCCGTCCCTAGTTTTGAACTTTCAGATTAAAGGGAAAGCAGCTAGTCAACATCACCCTCCTAGTCAACATCACCCTCCGTAAACTTTCGGGCTATTCTAAACAAATAGTGGAATTTTACCTTCACTCTTATAACGTATCCACAGACCCACACTGCGTAGTACATTTTAGTGACAACGGGACGCAAACCATGGTTTCTTGGATTCACAGTCGATCATACTAACCACTAGACCACACCAGGTCAGTGCTAGGCAGAATCACCCATTCTCCAAGGCATTTTATATATTTCTTTACAAAAATTTTTAAGTTGTTTTGATTGTTGTTATGGATTTCGCGCAAAGCTACACGAGGGCTATCTGCGCTAGCCGTCCCTAATTTAGCAGTGTAAGACTGGAGGGAAGGCAGCTAGTCATCACCACCCACCGCTAACTCTTGGGCTACTCTTTTTACCAACGAATAGTGGGATTGACCGTAACATTATAACGCCCCCAGGGCTGAAAGGGCAATCATCTTTGGTTGGACGGGGATTCGAACCCGCGACCCACAGATTGCAAGTCGAGCACCCTAACCACCTGGCCATGCCGGGCCAGTTGTTTTGATAACAGTTCATTATTTTGTTCAAAATCTTCTACTAATATACGAGAGTGAAAAACTAATCAGCATTATTACAAAATTAGTTGTTAATCAAATAATTAGCATGGGGTTATATAGTCACAGCCATATTAGTTTAGGGTTAAAGTATAAATGTATTACGTGAGGAATAATTTGGTCGTGTACATAAATCTTTCTCACTTTTGACAGCTGGTTTGTTAAATTTTTGCGCAAAGTTATTCGAAAGCTATCTGCGCTAGCCTTCCGTATTTTTGAAGTGATAGACTAAGGGAGAAGGCAGCTAGTCAACACTACCCACCGCCAACTCTTGGGCTACTCTTTATCAACGAATAGCGGAGTTGACTAGCACATCATAACGCCCCGACGGCTGAAAGGACGAGCACGTGCAGGGATAGGTTCCGATTCTGCGACCTAATCGCCGGGCCTTGCTAAACCTGACTGTTAGCTTCACTTCCTACCTAAACACCGCCTATTACTTAATATTTATTGGTCTACTCTTGTAGACTGGCTGATCTCCACTTATTCTAGAGTGCTATATTTTTGTGATGATCTCTTAGCTACTATGATTGAAATAAAATTTGTAGGAGGAAGATTGATTCAAATTCAATACGAAAAAATAAAGCAAAGCTAGGTGCTGAAATATACCAGAGTGAATTTAATTACGTAATTTATGCATAAACAGAGAATATTAGAGAAAATATGATCACTGCTGTATTAACCTTCTGTTGCACGTTGTAACGTATTGGTAAAAAATCTATTGTTGTTGCTTTATATAGATACAAATGCTTGAATTCCGTAGTGAATGCACTTACTTCCAGATAACAGTCTGAATAAAGCACATAATTATAACGCCCCCACGTTCGAACTCGCAATTGGTAGTTATTATTTTTAATCTAACAAAGTTTATTTACATTTTATGACATATTTGTTGATTCTGGTACGTTACAATACAATTTGTTAAAGACTGATATACGATTTTTTTTCCCGGAAAAAAATAGCCTAACTACAAAATACATTGTTATAGTTGTTAGGAAGGTTTAAAAGTGAAGTTTAAACCTAACTACAAATTATATTGTTGTAGTTGTTAGGGTGTCTTAACAGTGAAGTTTAAGCCTAACTACAAATTGCCTTGTTTTAGTTGTTAGGAAGTTTTAAAAGTGAATTTTAAGCCTAACTACAAATTACATTGTTATAGTTGTTAGGATGTCTTAACAATGAAGTTTAAGCCTAACTACAAATTGCATTGATTTAATTGTTAGGAAGTTTTAACAGTGAAGTTTAAGCCTAACTACAAATTGCATTGATTTAATTGCTAGGAAGTTTTAACAATGAAGTTTAAGCCTAACTACAAATTATATTGTTTTAATTGCTATGAAGTTTTAACAATGAAGTTTAAGCCTAACTACAAATTATATTGTTATAGTTGTTAGGAAGTTTTAACAGCGAAGTTTAAGCCTAACAATGAAAATGAAATAAAATTTCATGTTGTTATGCTATGAAAGTCAACTGGAGAAAAATGGGACACTTGGGGACATACAAGTTGTTGACACAGCAATTTATCATAGAAATCTTGCAATGAAATTGGTTTATTATTCATAAAATCATTTGGTAAGTCCCAAATGCCGCTGTTATGATACTAAGAAGAAAGTATTATGTGTAATATATCGTGGTCTAGATTTGCGTTTTAACAAAGAGTTGAAATTTATTGTTAAAAGAAGTGTTAATCCATTTTCCTTGACATCTAATTTAAGTCCAGCAAACCAAATGGAAAAGAAACAAAAAACAATTTGATATCCATGTTAGGTGATGGTCAGGAAAAGTGAACGAAATTTCATCTAGATAGTTAACTGTTCTTAAGTCAAACTGTTCATAATATCCTTGCTATTCTTGGTTGATACGAGTTTCATGTAAAGAAGTTGTTGGTGCTGTTTATAGCGGTAATTTGTTTTAGAAAATGGGAGAAATGAGTATGCAGGTGTAGTCCCAAACTGAAAAGAAAATATTGAGGCTTATCTTTTGCAAGCATCATGTAGTGTGTATCAGTTTTTATGAAATGTTGAAGTCATTAGATTTTCATATTGATGAATTTGCAATTTATTTTCGTAGTTTTATTAAATTCGGTGCTGATGTGCGAGAATAATTTTAAGCCATCGGTAAAATTTCAGATGTGATAGTTCAAATCATGCTAAGACGTTTTTATTTGATATTAACTATTGGACATTTTGCCTAAAAAAGTTATCATTTATTGCCTAATTTATGAGAGTAATTTTGGAAAATATAGTCAGCCATACAGGTATATTTAGATAAGGTCAAAACTTGAGAATACTTCGTTATTTGGCTTTTATCTTTTACCTCCATTCAGATTATACCAGGTTGTTAACATCTTTCACGCACCACTTATGCATATCTTATATTCAACTATAATGAAATTTTACACAACCTAATGGAAACGTTTGTCTAAAATCTTGAAATATGCCACAAAAAAGTATTTTACTTAAGGCAGTGAATTACCAGAGTAAAGGAAAATCTAAAACCATTAAAGCAGCTAGAAGTAGGAATTACTTACAGATGGTTTCTTCCTGAATTTACAGGTAATTAATAAAGTTTTTCTTTGTAATGTGAGCAGCTCGTTAATCCCCATGGTAGAATACCTTGAACAACATCTTTCATTCTATTAGCAAATGCTATAGCTCGTTCTAATGAGGGCATCAAATGTTGAAAACTAACCAGTTCCCAAGCCTTATCTACCTACTATGGCTCATTCTTCTGAAGGTGTCAGTTGCTTAATTTCCTTGATCATGTAACAGATTATTGTAAAGCCTAATATAAACATTATCAACTGAAATCACTTCCAGAAAAAATTTGGTCAAATAAGTCGAATGTCACATAAGAATGCAAAAGGAATCAAGCTGGGATGTGTAAACCCTTACTGGCAGAAAGTAATACATGTGATGAAACATAAGAATTTGGTGAATATTGCTAAGTCATCTCTTGTTATTCCACACGGAATTGTTCATCCAGAGTATGGTTTTCCAAACAACAGTGCTATACTAACAACAGAGATGGCTACTTTAAGTGGTATTAATGTGAAAATCGTTAAGAATTCAATAAAACATTATAGAGAAACACTTGATTGTGTATCACCTGAAAAACAGTATTAAGAAGTGTTGGATATGAATGTTGATGTTATAGATGTGAATAGTGATGTTACAAAGAACATAAACTTGTATAAAAAAGAAACACATGTAAGAACGACTATTGTAGAGAAATAAGGGAACTAAGAGAACAAAGATCTGGAATTGTCAAAAAAGGAAGTAAGATAATGGCCCCTGTTGTCAAGAGCAAGAACAAAACTGTGTAATACTAATACAGTTAGTACGTCATTTGATTTCTCTGTGAAACAGACTTTGTCAGGTCTAGAAAAGTTAATGATTGCTAAAGATATGAACTTTTTTACAGGTGAAGACTGAAATTTGAGTAAAATGCTTCTTTTAACGAATACAATTATTTAGAAATAAAGCACTGTCATAGTTTGCTCCAGAAACAATATCTTAAGGTAAAATAATACTTGTATTCGATACTCTCTAGCGATATTTGCCACTTATTGTATTGGCGCCAAAGGAAAACTTTTGTTTATGAAAAATTACTAAAACTGAGGCTAAATTAACCTTTTTTGGCTTTTTTAGATACACTGATATACAAAAGGTAGCCTAATGTTTCCGCAAAAATACATATTCAGGAAATGTTGTATAGATAATAAATTGGAGACGAACAACAGAGGAATAATAAGAATAAATGAATGAATAAACAAATCTTTATTTACATACACAGTTTGGTGCTGTTCGTTGTACCTTCTGTACGGCTTGCAGCTTTCCCCTAAGAGCTCAACTGGCTTCTTGGATGAAGAGGAAACATTTTTAATCAAATGGTCCAAGTGCGGTATCCCATAATCCAAAGCTACATATACAAAAAGAGAATTCCCCAACTCGTACCGATTTCTACAAGTATGTGCGTCACCCTCTGAGACTGGCTTGTCCCCTTCCTTCGCAGGGAGTGAACAGGGTATACAAGGTATACAAGATTATAGCAATTGCTGTATGTAACCTTTACCTAAGTAGCACAAGCTTACGACCTTTCGGCATCCAGTTAATGGGAATCTCATAACGAAATGCAGAACAACCACATGAAAATTTAGATAAATTATCTGAATATGTCAGATCCAACTACAGATTTATTTTAAGCTAGTCATGGAAGGATGAAATTCGTAGGTATTTCAGCTGTGATGTATTTACTGAGTTCTCTACCCTTTTGCTTCATTTGCATGCAAATCAGTTTAAAAGTAAATAAAAAAAAGATACGTCCATGTTTTACGGTTAGACAAAATATTTGTTCGAAAATATTCATCATCTCAACTGTGTTAAACAATAGAAACAAGTCACAACAGATGTTGACATATATAATGCTGGCTCAGTAGATGACGGTAAAGGGATGGAGAAATACTATGCCATCTTCACTTTACAACAAGTACAAAAACGTAATTATACGTATTTTAACACGTGTAAGCATACACTTGTACAACACCAGCTGTTATTGGTAACTGTATTGATACATATCCAGTTGTGTGTCTTTACATTGCAGAGAATTCAATTTAGTTTCATCGCTCAGAGTTTTTCATTAATTTGCATTCCTAATGGAAATTTGAATTAACTGGTATATTGTAATCATTATTGGTGAGTTATCTGCCCATGGACTAGGCTAGTTCTTGGCTCAACAATTCCTCTTCCTATTCACTCTTTGCCTCTCCTCCTCATTTTATCATACGATCTCCCATTTCTCAGATGGTTCAGTAGTTTTTCTCTCTTTCTAGTCATTTAATTTCAGTCTATCCTTCTACTTCTTTCATTTAAATTATGAAATAAATTTAGTAGTTTTAATAGATAATTGTGCTTATTGTTAAACAGACAGTAAGGTAAACTTCATAATGATGTTATTAGTTCGTGAAAAATAGACAATTCGATAATGAAAGTCCCTGAAACGTCTTGGAATATTCTATTATATTGACCTTTATAAGCACAAATTGTAGAACTGATAAATTGAAATTCTCATTTTTTTTACATCTGCTCTACTCTCCTACAATTCCTAGCTAAAAATTATATTCGCTAGACTACGACATAGTTATCAAAAATCAACACAATCAAATTTTCATTTGAATTATTAAGAAATAGGATGTCATTGAGGTGACGACTAATCGTATGCTTAATATACATATTTAAAATATAACCATAATTGCTTATGTAAACTGAATTGTAATATTGGACTTATTCTACAGTATAAAAACATTACTTGTAGAAAAATGAAAAACAATTTACAGCCGCTTAGTAAAATTCGTGATATACACACCTGATCAAATTAAAACTGAACTATAGATCAATGTTCTCGACTCACAGCGTACTTCAGACATCTACTGGGATAAAAAAAAAAAAAACACCAAAAACATTAGCACTATTATATGTCTTACGGTGGGACAGCGGTAAGTTTATGGAATTACAACGGTAAAATTCGGGGGTCGATTCTCTGCGGTGGACACAGCAGATAGCCCAATTTGGCTTTGCTCTTAAATAAATAAACAAGCAATCTATTATAAAGAAAAAATATTAAATTAAAACTAATTTATTCCAGGCTATAGACTAGAAAAAGACAAATGACATTCGTAAGTACTTGTTCAATTTTCAGTGATTTGAAAAGCTAATTCTGAATATCCACCTGACTAGAAGTACACATAATATGACATTAAAATTTATAATGATTAGAATACATTGATTCATCATATTGGTACCCTCGCTATTAATGATATTACCACAATTTAAAATTCATATGCATCAAGAGGCCCAATGATTATCGTGTCGGACTGGGACCTGAGGTTCAGTAGTTCGCGTCTCGTTACCACCAAAACAAAATCGCACTACATACTAGCTGCTTTCCCTCTGGGCTGAGCACGGCTAAGTGAATAACATGCTGGACTGTGGTTCTGAGGTTTGTGCCCTGTAACTGCAAATAATAATAATAATCTCGCTCTGCACTTTAGGGCCGTAGGTGCGTTAAACAAGTGACAGTCACAATCCACTATTCGATTAGAGTAGCCGAAGAGTTGGCGGTGGGTGAGGTTTTATACCAGTCTTTCTTCTGGTCTATAGCTTTAAAATTGGGAACGACTAACACATCTAGAGGCCTAGCATGGTTTGATGGTTGGGGCGCTAAACTCACGAACTGCGAATTGTGGGTTCGAATTCTCGTCACCTGAGAGAGTGTTATAATGTAATGGTCAATCCAACTATCCGTTGATAAAAGAGTTGGCGGTGGATGGTTTTGGCTAGCTGCCTTCCATATAGTAATTAAGGACGACTACCTGGAGAGGAGATGAGTGCCACCTGCTAAATCTGCCCAAGAATCATCGATGATGCATCAGTATCTAAGGTGCCCCAACAGTCGTAAGCAGCCTCGATACTCAAACAGATAACCCTTGTACAGCTTTGAGCAAAATCCAATAAACAGAGGAAGGAATATGAATTAAGAAACAAAATATTGAAAAGCTGAAATATGAAACTGTTTCAGATAAAAATCCGATATTAAATATCCTCAATTAATAAGTTTTGTTTCTTTGCTTTAAAGTTAAGTCACATTGGGCTATCTGCTGTGTCCATCGCAGGGAATCGAATCCCAAATTTTCGCGTTATAAGTACTTAAACTTAACGCTGTCTCACCGGAGGACCACTTAATAAGAAAATTAGGTTTTCACGTCATCAGGAACTTGAAAAGATTGACATAAATTAGTAAAAAATAAAATAAAATAAAAACTGTACAACCATAATGGTTATGTAAAACACAAACTGCATTAAATTCTATAAACGTAAAGTTGTGTATAGTTATGCGTGCTTTTAATCATGTTTAATATAATCTGGGTCAATCGTTGTATTTCACTTAGTGATCTATAAGTTTCATATACTTCAGTGTATATATTTTATGTCATTAAACTTGTATAAGCTGGAAATGTAACAAAAAATATGTTTGTTGTATAAAAAGCCTTTTACAATTTTTTTAAGCCAAACTTAAATTTTCTATTCACCTTTCAATTATGTAAACGTTTTTTTTTTCTTATTATGTCCAGCAATCATCGGGTAATTTTATCAACACATTAACCATTCGTTTCCATCCTTCACTGGAACTGGAAGGAGATGAAATTAAAACAATCATCTGTAAGTTCAACACTGGATCTATCAACGTAGGATAAACAATTTGACCAGGTAGTTGAAAAAGGACAACACCAAGAAACTACGGTGTTTTACTTTTGTTACTTTTCTTGGAAAATTATAAAGGATGTAATGTTATATTGGTTAAGATTTATGATTTCCTTGGAAAAAAAACAAAACCAAAAATGTTTCGTTCAGAAGGGTCTTTGTGGTATTAAAGGGAGTACATGTAACAGCTTATGCTAAATAAATTCTGGTGAATAAAAATTTTTATAGTTTGTGTGTTTGATCAGCAAATCGACTTCCGCCCTGACTTAGAACTCCAGGAAGAGTTCTTTAATGTGGTAAGCTGCAAAACAACCGATATGGTTTCAGTAATCTATTGATTTAGATTAGGACATTGAAAGTTAAAAATAAAAAATATATTAACAGTGTTCTTATTTCTTACATCCAAAGTCTGGTTTGTAAATGACTTAAATAAGATTGATAATATTTACAACTCACTTGCTTAATCTTATTCACACCCTAAATTCCGTCCATATGTTGTGTGAAGATGCTGATTGATTTTGACTGGCATTGTAAATTCTAAATCATAACGTTAGAGAAACCTTTTTATAATCTCCAACTGAGAGTACTTTAACCGTTTTGTGGATGTTCTTGAAATGTTCTAAATAGATAGGTTACTTGCAGTTTTAATAACGAAAATAATATCAAATTTAGAAACAAAAGTTGCTTCTCGACTTTCTCTGTCATATCTTTACTGATATATAATATGCTAATGAGATAAAGAACCACCGTAAAATACAAAAGTGTAATTTCTTTCAAAATATTATTTTGACCTCTCCATAAGATATATTTACACAATATCATTGATTGTTGTTTTAAAGAATCTTAAATATAATATTATTTGTATTTCACTTTTATTACTGAAAGAAACAATAATTATAATTGGGACTAATAGTTATAGTAAAAAGAAAATTAGTGTCATAACTTGTTTGGTAACTTTAATATGAAGCCTGACCAATAACAGGCTATAACATGTGCTGCCCTCTAAAAATTGTATGTTGAAATGTTTATAACCAACTCCGTGATACTGAGTCAAAACGCAGAATAAGAAGAACAAATAAATCATAAAGTTTGTTTTGTGACTCCAACAAAAATTAAACGTGTGTTTATATTTGAATTCACTGCTTTCACATAGATTTCATTTTACTACCTTGAACTGAATCTTTTTTTTTTCATTACTCATATGCAACTATCTAATAATATGTAATAAGGGGCTTTATGAAAAATATTCGTAGAGTCTTTTATCTAACATATATATATATCTATATATGCAGAAATAAGACTAGTAGTTTGGGTATGGTAACTAAATCCTTGTTTAATGCGTGTTTGTCTTGTTGTTCGTATAAGAATTTTGGGTATACAAAAGTCCTAAAATAACCTTTGAAATATTTGAAGTGTTTCATACTTCTAACTTTTAAATACGAATTTTAATTTAGTTTTCTACCCAATTTAAATTATTATTATTTTGACAAAAAAGATCAAACTTTTTACTTACTTTGAGAATCATAAAAAAGTTATTCATGGTGTGGGAACATAACTATAGGTTTGAACCGTGTATATATTTAAATGAAATTAATTATAACATATTTGCTATAGCAATAAAAGTTTATTTATTTATATATATATATATATATTACAAAAATAATATAAATAAAATATCAAAATTTCATATCAAGCGCCGCTGGTGTAGTGGTATCATGCAAGATTCCCATTCTTGCGACCCGGGTTCGATTCCCGGGCGGCGCATTACATTTTCATATTGTTTTTAAAAATTTAATGCTAATACACAAATATACTTTTGATATTGTTTAAAGTATAAACTTTGCGAAAAACATAAAACTGTCAAATTTCACAAAATTTGGACCTGAATTTGAATTTTATTCAAAAATCACGTTTTGTTCTCAAGGGTATTTGCAATTTAAGTAAGTTTAAAAGAATGATGCATTTGCAGACTGCAAGTACATATGTGTAATCTATATAGTATTAAAACTCTGAGATTGTTTGTGTGTGTGTGTACTTGTTTGTAAATTAAATACAGCGACAACGGCGCACAATACCGACGTATTTGTAATGAAATGAGAAGAGAAACAGAACAACACAAGTTTCTTTAAAATCGGGCCACGGGTTACCGAGTTAGCCTCGTTTTTCGGGTCACTTTTCGTTTATTCTTTCTCGATACAATTTTGTAATATACAGAATTTCCACAGTCACTTTAAACTTAACAACCTTTATAACACACGCTATAAATCACAGTGATCCACACACTTTACTTACAGCATGGCCAGGTGGTTAAGGCACTCGACTCACAATCTGTGGGTCGTGGGTTCGAATCCCCGTCCCCCCAAACATGCTCGCCCTTTCTGCCGTGGAGGCGTTATAATGTGTCGTTCAATCCCACTATTCGTTGGTAAAAGAGTAGCCCAAGAGTTGGTGGTGGGTGGTAATGACTAGCTGACTTTCCTCTCGTCTTACACTACAAAATTAGGAACGGCTAGCGCAGATAGCCCTCGTGTAGCTTAGCACGAAATTCAAAAACAAACAAACAAACAAACTCGCTTGACTCAATTATCTGTCTCTATATCTATCTATCTGCAATCATATCTCCGCTTTATTTGCCGGGCTTATATACTAAAAAAGAGGGCACCTGGAACAGACTAGAATTGCCAGGAAATTTCATCTCATCACGTGTTACCAGCGTCACGTGACTTCCGCTGTCGTAACACTGCCCCTTCCTTAGTATCGTTCGTTCCGAACAATAGCCACTTACTTTAAAACCAACAGAAAATTAACAATAACTTGATTAAATGTACAGAATTTGCACACACAAAATTAAAACACAACAAAGTCTCTTAATTTTACAGGACATACTGGTCTTTGTCTCATTAGCTTCTGCTTCACGTGAGGCTCATTTGCTCCATAAGGAAATGTTCCATTATTGGTAACAGTCAAATCAGTGGTACTAACTTCAATAACGGCTTCAATTTTTCCCTGCTCAAAACCGGGTAGAGTTTCTTCTTCGACAGTGGCTTTTTCAAGTGACACGTCTTCAGCAGCATCATTTGTTCCATTGTTCACTTCATTCCAACTGGACCGTGATAATGTCAAAAACTGTTATCATGTACAACCTTCGGCTTACCTTGCCGACCACATTTTATAAGAAAAGTCACGTCTTAGAGACGATCCACTATGTCATATGAGCCTTCCCATGGAGAAGACAACTTAAGAGAGTTCCAATTCGATGACGAGGAACCCACTTTAAGACTAATAATGGCTG